TATTCATATCAATAGATTTATAAATTGAAAGTTAGTTAACAATACATATTTAGATTCTCAATTTATGAATTTTACTCAAAAGTGCCAGTACCTAACATTTGGGAAACGTTTGATATTTTGCTCATAAATTATGATTAAACTGATTATATATATATATATATATATATATATATATATACCTGTATATAAATTTCGGTGAAAGAAATAAGTCAACCATGTGCAGCACCCACGCAAATACACTGTCAGTTTGTCAACGTGGGTGAACGAGTATAGAGCAATGCTTTCCACTCATATATTTATTATAAAATCAGTTTATATGAAAATTATCAACGAAAAATAAATTTATTATCATGAATTATATTATATATAGTTAGGCAAACGTATACACGAAATACGTGTTTAATAGCATATCAAATAATCAAAAACTTTAAAAATAATTTTTATATAATAAACGTTGTAATCGGCATAAGTATGGAAACTATAAAAAAACTAATTAATTCAACCTCATGGTTAAATTGAATATTGAAATATATGAAAATTTAATAATTTATATTTTTGAAATATATTTTACAATAAATTTTAATACTTAATCCTTTTTTAAAAAAAAAAGCTTTCTAATAAATGCTACTATGTATGTAATATTTCACAGAATCTCCTAAAATTGTGAGAAAAGAAATGAGCATCCATGATAAATATCAATTCAGCAGTGGGCGAATATACTTCAAGATATGCTCTTCAAATATCCTAATTTAGATATACCGTGAGATGGAGGTAAATATAGAAATAGAAAGCAAATTAATTTAGAAAACAATTTAAGACGAATAATGAAATGCAAAATAATATAAGTGTATACTCCAATGTATAATAATGTTGCCGAAATCAAACGATCAGAGAATCAAAACGTTAAGTCAATTAGCATTACAATTTCAAAATTGTTCATTACTAGAGGAAAACGAATATATTACCAATGTTAGAAAAGTTCTTATAATTAATATATTAAATATAGATATGTCAACAGTTATACCTTTTACAATGTCACATAGAAGATGAGCCATTAGAAATTGATAGTTATCGTTGGCAACTAATTAAGTGCGCATTTTTGTTAGAAAATCAAAGACAATTTTTGCGTAGAATTAAATATCTTTGTTATGTATACCATTTTGATCGATGACCTTTTGTTATTTTCCAAGAAGCATAGTTATCCAAAGTTTATAAAACTTCCAGTTTTTATTAGCAAAAACTGAATTAGACACAATTGACACCATCATGATTTTTTTTTTTAAATTCAAGTGTTTTAAATCAGATGGTTTGTGGTCAGGAACATTTAGTGGATGTGGAGAAAAATTTTCACCAACCCCCAATAATTTTTGAACATAGCCAAATTGTTTCTATTAGCCCAATCGATTATTGCTTTAATTAGTTTGTCCAAAACTTTAACTGGACAATCAGAGCAGCATTGAGTGGAAAATTACCAGAATGACATTTTCAAAACCAATTTTAACATAGCTGTTTTTTAAGGCTTCGACACCATAAACAGCCCCTATTCTTTGGAATGATCGTTTTACCATTTGCAGAAATAAAAATTCAAAATTCGACCAAAATGTTTGTTTTGATATTCCATCTTTCAACAAACACTCTACGTAACAGATCAAAAAAGTATTTTCTACTGATCGACAGCTAAATTTCTCACTATACATTACTACCTCAATCTCAACAAACCTAAAGAATCATTTGAAGCAATCTAACAATAAGAGTAAAAGCCGCGCTTGGTGTCAACCTTGTACTATTTAAGGATACAATAAAAATTAGTTTATTTTAAATTAATTCCATCTTTAGCAATAGTTACTGACTGTGAGTAAAAAACTCACATCATATTTACAATTTTTCTGCTTTTAAAGCCTTGTATAAAACTCTGTTCTCATAAAGCTTCGCAATTAACTTTAGTATTAAATATCACTTTTCTTGTGCATATTTTAAGTCGAGTCTTGTCACTGACCTTAAAGCATTTATGCCAAGCAGTCAGAAACTTGATTTACCTATTTTTTTGGTAATTTTCGCAAATTGGAATATAGAAGTTTAAAATAATTAGTGAAGGGCTACTGGAACGCAAAAAATTGTTGCATCCCGCAATATTCTCTTTCATAATGTTGTTGTTAGATTTATATAAAGTTTATTGCATATATCATTTTCAGATTATAATGGATAGTTGTAATTTTATTATAAAGTAATGAAAAAGAGTAAAGTCAACCCGACAGAAAAAACATAACTCTTGCACTAGTAAAGCAAGGTTGAAAACTAAAACCGTTGCGGCCAAACCGGGACACCTTATTATTTTAAATCTAAGAAGCATTTTTTTGTTAAATGTTTTACCGATACTATACTACATTACATTAAAATCACCAAAACTTTCAAATTGCCCCCAGGTGGGGCGTGCGCCCCACGTTGGGAAACACTGCCATAGATGAAAATCGCATTTTTATGCCTCAAAAAATTTCTTTTGATATTAATTAATTACCATCACGTCTCTTTACGATTCGGGAAGAAGATAACCGTTAACAAATGTGGGTGACGCCATAAAGTCTGTGTGACCGAATGACATACGCATCCGGCTGGCATTCCTTTGATCTACTTTCGACATGAATTATAAATACTTTGCGATGTTGCGCGCTTACTGATCACGTAATTAAGTAGACAATCGAAATAACAGAAAGGTTACTATCATATAGAAAAAATAGATGTGTTTTAAAATGATCTGAGAACTCAAAACCGATTTTTCAAAATAATGTTTCGATAATATTATTATGCAATGTGTGCATTTATGCGTTGCATCTCTATATTGATAAAAAAATTTAACTGTACAAATTAGTTGTAAGTAAATATTATTTATACAACTTTTTTATGATAGCGCAAAAGCATTTACAACGCATGATCAATGTATATTCGAATTTCAGTCTACTTCATCTGGTGAATCTTATGTTTCTAGATAAAAAAAAAATGCCCATATACGAGGTCTGTTCAAAAAGTACCCGGAATTTTCGTTTTTTCAAAAAAATATTTATTTATTCGTCTACATTAATGTGGTCCCCTTCAAAGTAGTCCCCCCCAGATATAATACACTTATGCCAGCGTTTTTTCCAATTTTCGAAGCACCCTTGATATTCACTTTTTGATATGTCCTTGAGCACTCTCAGCGATTTTCTTCAATCGAGGAAAACCGCCGTCCTTTCATGGGTCTCTTCAACTTTGGGAATAGGAAAAAGTCACACGGAGCCATATCTGGTGAATATGGAGGTTGGGGCATGACTACGGTATTGTTTTTGGCCAAAAAATTACGAACAAGCAACGACGAGTGAGCAGGTGCGTTATCGTGGTGCAACAACATTGAAAAAATGTTATGACATGAGCCAATTGATATGCCAACTTCATCAGCAACTTCTCTAATTGTGATTCGGCGATCATTCATAACCATTTTTTCCACTTCTTTCACATTTTCATCGTTTGTTGACGTGCTGGGTCGACCGGAGCGTTCGTCATCTTCAACGTCTTCGCGGCCATCTTGGAAACGCTTATACCACTCGTAAACACTTGTTTTTTTCATAGCAGACTCACCATAGGCTTTTTGTAACATTTCACACACTTTGTTACACTTTATTTCATTTTTTACGCAAAATTTAATACAAATTCTTTGACTTTTCAATTCTTCCATTGTAAAAATCGCCGAGCTCAGAAAAACACGTCGAACCTTAGCGACTACCACAGACAAAGTAAACAGTGAATATAGCTGAAAATTTCATCATACTTTAGGGGCATGTATACCAACACAATAAAAAAGAATTTTGACAATCAGACACTCCAGACCCGCGAAATTTAAAAATTCCGGGTACTTTTTGAACACACCTCGTATTATTGCTATCGAACCAAAACCTATGTATTCTTAAAATTCTTTTTTTTTAAATTGTATGACAAAATAGGTTTAACCTAGTTGGTATTGGTATTTTGCCTTGAGGCAAGTTACATGAACTTCCCGACATGTGTAAATAATAGACTTAATCAATAAAAAATAATTTATGAGTGATTAAAAGTATTCCGAGTTAACTCGGTCCGGGTATTTTCTAAAAGCAAATGTTCAAAAATCAACAATTTTTATAATTGAACCAGTTTCCGTAGGACTTTAATGGTTTAGTATGTTCATTAAGACCAAGTACTCTATCGTTATACTGAGTAAATTCAGTAAGTTCTATAAGACCATGAAATACATTGCCAAAAAAAGTTTCATAAAAAACGGTTTGAATTTTTTTTCAACAGTTAATTACAAGAAAACGGCTCAGTAGATTCTCAACTAATTACATAATTTTCCACTATTCTGCGGTTCACAAAGAAACGGCTCGTAGTACAAAACTGAGAAACGCTAGTCCTCATTGAGGTACATCAAATAGCTTTTAAATTTTTAAAATCGGTCCAGTCTTTTTTGAGAAAACGTCGATTTACGTCAAAAAAGCTGTTCACATAGATGCACACAAACAGATACACACAGACACACACCCATACTTTCTCCAAATTTGATCTCATTCGATTCAGAATGGTTTGAAACGTCGAGAAAACATAAAATTAGCGACTCGGATTTTTTTATGAAAACAAACTTCTCCTTCGGAAAGTTAAGAATGTTTATTATCTCCACTGATAAAAATGAAATGAATAGAAAAAATAATGCGACATTACAACAAGTTAGGAACTGTGTGAGTCTACAAAAATTCGAATTAAATAATGTAGTTAGAGTTAGTGAAAACCATATTTACAACATATATGGTAGCAAATGTTATTTCCAGAACTAAATTTAATATGTAAACATATTATTTTTAATTTATGAAGCAAATATTTAAGCAAAATACATTTACTGTTTACTCCTACAGTTGACTTTTTTACAAATTGAATCAATTTGAGAAATTTGAATTGAAATATTTTAATTATATACATGTATAATTCACTATAAAAGAACTTACCGGAATTTTGCTGACTTTAAGGAACTCCAATAAGGCTTCTAAAGATCCTAATGTACTTGCTTGCACATAAACACCTCTTTCTTGCAACTTGATGCCACTTAAAGCACTTTTCAGTTCTTTAGCTACCTCATCTCTACAAAGTAAAATTTTATAATGGTAATGAATCCAAATGATAGTTATTTTATGTACTAATTGAATAAATGATATAAATTCAACTTCATTAAAAAATGTTATTATGATAAATATATATAATATAATAAATAAATATTGTACCTAAATATGTCAATTTCATCTGGCTTTTGTGCAACTTGTAAATTTAAACCTGCAATTGCTTTTTCCAATTCTTTTGCAGCTATCTTTACACCTTGTGCTGCAACTACTTCTTTGTGTTCAATATAAGCATTCTATAAATATAAAAACAAATATGTATAACACAAACTTAATTATTAAAATCACAGAAAAACCTAATTATAAATATATTTGCAATTCAAGATACTTACTTTAACTCTGAGTTCCTTCATTGGTTGGGGCATTAGTAATGATCTAATTTGTGTAACTATGGGTCCATCAGTACCAGCTAAAATAATCGTATCTCCTTCTCTTAAAGTTCCATTTATTAAAATTGCATCAATGGTTGTACCATGCCCAGGTATCGCTTTAACCTTAAATGGGAATATAGATATAAACCTGTTCAATCAAAGTTTCGTTTTTTTTTTTTATCAAATTACTGATATATTTAACATTATATTAAATTAATATAGCACTAATTTATAAAAATAAGTATAGCTTATATTTTTATATCAAAACTACTATTATAGGTTATTGATGTTAAAAATTCAATTAATAATCAATTAATAAACTTGTAAATAACATGAATAAAATTCTTTACCTCTAATACTGTAGCTTGCAAATCTTCACTAAACATCAAGCGTTTTGCTAACATATTCTGGCATGAATCAACAATTAAGGCTAAGAGATTACCCATTCCTTCTCCAGTTATGGCAGAAGTTGGAACTAAAGAAACGTAACTTCTTGGGTCAGGGTTTTCATGAAATAGAGCTGCATTTAAACCCTAGTGAAAATAAAACATATTGATAAGAAGACAACAAAAGTTCATAAATATTTAAAGAGAATATGCTTATTATTAAAATTTGTCATTTTGATAATAAGTAATTATTCTTCTGAAAGTTTTAGATGTAAATTATAGTTTTTTTAAATAATATTTGTACTGACTCTACGAAATAAACAAAACATACTTGCTCAGCAAATTGAACTATGATTTCTTTAGTTCTTTGTTCAAATTCTAATTGTGTATTCGGTGCTTGGGCTTTGAGAACGTCTCGTACATCTTTCCTAGCCATAGTTGACCAATCATACAATCTGTCAATTTTGTTCAATGCAACAATAAACGGAGTTTTCTTAGTTTTTAATAAGTTAATAGATTCTAAAGTTTGTGGTTCCAAACCGTGCATAATGTCAACAACCTGAAAAATTAACCAGAAAACATAAAACTGTGTTATATACATATTTAATTTGAACGTCACTTAGGATAAAAATCTTATATATTTCATAATTTACTAGTGTTAAAATAAATGTATTAGTACATATATAATATGTATTATATATGTACATATAAACTGTTAATATGCTTTATAAACTATTTTAAAAATTGAATTATAATTACCAAGATAGCAATATCACACAAAGAAGAACCTCGACTTCTCAGATTGCTGAAAGATTCGTGACCAGGTGTGTCAATAATCAGTAAACCAGGAATTTTGAATACAGTATCTGATATCTAAAAATTAAACAACTGTATTTATTTTCTACTATAACTATTTTTCATGTTTTCAAAAAAAAATAAAATTATTATTATCAAATCAAAATAAACTATATATTTTAATTCTAACCCCTTTAACAATTTTAACTTGCTCCTTTATGTTTTCTATTGGAACATTTGTAGCACCAATTTGTTGAGTAATACCACCAGCTTCACCATCTTGCACATTTGTGCGACGTAATTTGTCAAGAATTTTTGTTTTTCCAGTATCTACATGTCCCAACACACAAACCACCGCAGCTCTCAGTTTGTCTAATGATTTATTCTGTTCTGCATCAATTCTGCGTTTCTGTAAATAATTAAAATATTGATAAAATCAATAGTTTTTTTTTAAATATTTGATTTATTTTCATTAGCAAGTGGTACTTGTATTCTCTGGAGAGCCTTTTCTCGTTTCTTTTCTGCATCAGTTCTATTATCACTGTCTTCGCTACTTTCAGATTCTGACTCAGAATCACTTTCTTCTTCAGACTCTTCTTCTGAAGAAGTTTCTTCCTTTTTACTTTCTGCAGATTGATCCACTTTTGTTTCAGACTTTGCAGTTACTGCTACAAAGTTTATAAACATTTCAATAAAAATAAAATATCATTTACTACAAATATGTTCTTTGTTCTTTGAGTATTATAGTAATAATGCATAATTTGTAAATTAACCTGGTGTTTCAGTTGTGCTTTCCTCTTCACTGCTTGAATCAGCATCCCATGCATCCTTAACATCATCTTCTTCGGCAATAGCTTTTGTTTCGGCACTTTGCTCAACCACATTCTCTGCTGGTTGTTCGCCTACTTTATCAGCATCAACTTGAGATTGCACTTCCGTAGATTCCTTATTACCTTGCTGTTTAGATTTATTAGGTCGAATTCTTGTTCCAAGTCTATAAAAGTAATTAACTTATGTTTGAATAAATTTACCAATGCAAATTTACTTGTTGAAACATATTTTTCTAAATTCAAATTTTCAATTCATGAAGTAAGTTTCTAGAATAATGAAATAGCATAAGTAAAAAATAAACATAAATAAAAAGATTCTTAAAAATCGAAAGTATGCAAACCTAGGTTTCTTCTCTCCCACTTCAGGCATTTCTAGTCCCCTTGCCTTAAGAGATTCAAGCATTGCTTGGGCTCTAGCTTTATCTGCTTTTTGTTTTGCAGAAAGTAGTTTGCCTTCAGCTTTTAAACGTTCTTTACGTTCCTTTTCCTTTTCTTTTTTTTTTCTTTCCGCTCTTGTTCCAACCTAATCTAAAGTATATCAAAAACAAATCAGTTGATAAATTCATTAAAAGAAATAAATTAAATAGAAAAACAAAAAAATATATACTAGATAAATATATCCTAATGAGCAATAATTTGAGTTATTATTCACAATTTATTGTTCTCACTTGTTCTAATCTAGCAGCTTCAGCTTCCTCTTCCTTGCGAATCCTTTCTTCTTCTTCTCTTTGCAATTTTTCTTGTTCTTCTCGGAGTTTTTTCAAAGCATCTTGCATTGCTGCAATTGTTTTTTTGCCTGGTCCTTTGCCCGCTGCCTTCGCATCCTCAGCTGCTTTTGCACCTAAAACAAAATTTCAAGTAATTTTTTTCCAAAAAAATATAGTCAGCCAAAAGCTGCTCTCTTTCATTATTTGACATGTTATTTAACCCATATCAACATCACTAAAAATAATAATATTAATTTATTATATTCACCATCATGAGACAAATTTTCTTTAACGTATTAATTTATACAAATATTTTTTATACTAATTATTTAATATATAAAAATATTAAAAAAATGATATAAATATAAGCACTTTATCTTGAAGATCTGGCTATCGAAACATGTTAAAGATGAAGTCAAAATTATTACCTTTCTTCTTTTTTTTCTTTTTATCATCATCTTCTTCTGCATCATCTTGTTTATTTTCATCATCATCCCCCGCTACTGTTTCAACTTGTTGCTTACTACTTTCTTCTGCTGATTTTGTAGATTGGTCAGTATTTACAGGTTTAACTTCCTAAAAAGTAATTAAAAAAATAATATTTTGATGATTAAAATTAATTCATTTGACTTTACTATTTTAGTAAGTTATTTATCAAACTTTATCAAAGAACACCTTTTGCTTCATCTGCAATTTTTTCTGCTTTTCACGCTCTTTTTTTTCTTTCTTCTTCTGAGCTGCAGTTTTAACCGTTCCTCCAGACTCTTCATTTGTATCATCTTTTACTTCACTTTGATCTTTAATTTCAGTTTTAATGCTTGGTTTGGCTTGCTTTTCTACCTGAGCTACTTTCTCTACTTTTCCCACATTTTCTTCTTCTTTAACATCCTTTTTGACACCGGAATATTCAAGTTCTAGTTCAGCTAAAACTTTCTCTATATCTTCTTCACTATCATTTCGTTTCTTTTTAGACTTTTTGCTTTTTTTACCACCATCAGGTTTTGGCTTATTATCTTCAATACTATCACTTCTATCTATCTTTTTATTAGCTTTTTTATTTTTCGATGAAGTATTAGTAGTAGATTCAGAAATTTCATTGTCACTTGGCGCTGATTCTGCTGAATCTATTAAAAAAAAAGTTAAATAATATTTTATTTAACACAATTTCGAATTGTATAATGTAGATATTTAAAGATGTTTTTATGATATAAAATGATATAGTTATGTATATATATATATATATATATATATATATAAGTAAAATGTAAGAATGTTAACATAATAAAATACTATTTTTTATAGTTTATAACAGTACTGATAAAAAATTGAATTTATTTATTTTATATAACTTTGTAATTTGCTTATTATCTCAATTTCAACTTAAAAACAAGAAATAATGTTTTGATATATACCTAAGTCAGTGATTTCCAACCTGTGGGGCGCGCTCCCCTGGTGGGGCGCCATACCGTTCCAGGGGGGGCGCAAAGCTGTTTCAAAAATATTATTTTTAAATGCTGAGTAAGTGTCAAAAACAAATCAGCAAAATACTTAAAGTACTTCTAAGAGTGTTTGAACTCAAAAAAGAAATTGCAATAGTTCTTGCTGATAACAAAAGAGATGGAGCAATCTTATTTTAGGACACAAAGTTCCTCGCAAAATTTGCGTATTTAGTTGATATTTTTCAAAGACTTAGCGATTTAATTAAATCAATGCAAGGATTAGAAATCCATTTGTCATTGAAAAACATGATGATTTTGGTCATTCAATAGCAGAGCAGAAAATGATAATTGATCTATCTAGTGATAGCACATTGACGCAGATGTTTCAGGACGAAAATATATTGTTAAGTTTTGGTTACCAGTAAAGGACGATTTTCCTACTTTGGCAAATAATGCTTTAGAAATTTTAGATCTTACTTATGTGAAACAGAAAATTATTATAATAAATAGTTATGTTTGTATGTATATTTTTTATAATACTGTGTATTATTTGGCATAATTTCAGTTATATTAAGTATCTTTAAATTAAATTGTTAGAAAAATAAGAATGGGAGGGGGGCGCAATATTTTTATCATTCAAAAGGGGGGCGCAAGGAAGAAAAGGTTGGAAACCGCTGACCTAAGTTTTTAATATTTTTATATAAGAAATATATAAGCATCATTAAAATGCAATTCTCAAAATTTTACCTTCTACAGCTAAAAGAGCAAATCCTCCTTTCTTTATATCAGGCTTCTTAGCCTTCGGTTTCTCAATTTCTTTGTGAATATTTAAATCATCAATCTCATTAGTGATGTCATCAACATCACTATCATTGTCAACTACCTTTTTCTTTTTGTCTTTCTTTGAAGATTTTTTCTTTTTGCCTGTATCTTCATTATCTGAGTCTATAATTTTTTCTTGTGGTTTAGATTTAGTTTTTCCCTTTGTTGTTTCTTTAACTGCAGCATCAGTAGTATCAATATCACTATCTCTATTATTTTATTATTCAATATTAGAAAATCTAGTAATATATTAATATTGAGTAGTGTTATCAAAAGTTACTTACAATTCGTCATCATTTGCGTTTTTTTTAAGCTTTTTCGCTTTTCCCATATTGATGGTTAAGTTTGAGGTTATGGAAGAATAAAAGAGAAATTATAAAATTAAAGAATACGATAAAAATTAACATATGAAAACAGTAGTTCAAAAATATAATTTTTAGTCATATATACTACATTTCCTATATAATTTTTATGCACATGCCGGCATCCAGAATTAATTTAAAACATCACTCAACCTAGAAAATTGACATTTACGTTTCACATTTCTTGGTACCAACTGCCGAGATGAAACATGTGGTAAATGCCAACGTGACCAAAATATATTCAGAAGTTTTCAGCACGTGGTAAATCTGCGGGAAAGTAAACAGAATTCAAACATAGGGTGCGTTCGACTTGGACGCTTACGCGCTGTGAGCGCTCACGCTTATAAGCACGAATTTTAGCGTTCGACTTGGCCGATAACCGCTCAGAATCGATAACTAAATTCCGTTCGTTTTGGAAACTGTGAGCGTCAATAAGCATCAAAATGGCGGCAACTGGCGGTAACGATAATTTGTAAATTTTATTACTTTCTGGATCATTCAGCGGGATTATAAAGAATTTAACAATTAATAAATAAATGAAAATTTGGTTTGCTTATGCTTAATTCATATTAATATTAAAATTAAAATTTAAAATTATTTAAAATTAATTAAGTTTAAAATTTAATTAATATTAATATTAATATTAAAAATAATGTGATATACAACTTGGCATTTTTGCGGGATTATAAAAATTTAACAATTAATGAATAAATGAAATTTGGTTAGCTTATGCTTAATTAATAGTAATATTAAAATTAAATTTAAAATTATTTAATATTAATATTAATATAAAAAATAAATGTGATATACAACTTGGCATTTTTGCGGGATTATAAAAATTTAACAATTAATGAATAAATGAAATTTGGTTAGCTTATGCCTAATTAATAGTAATATTAAAATTAAAATTTAAAATTATTTAATATTAATATTAATATTAAGAAATAATTGTGATATACAACTTGGCATTTTTGCGGGATTATATAGAATTTAACAATTAATAAATAAATGAAATTTGGTCAGCTTATGCTTAATTAATAGTAATATTAAAATTATTTAATATTAATATTAATATTAAAAAATAAATGTGATATACAACTTGGCATTTTTGCGGGATTATAAAAAATTTAACAATTAATGAATAAATGAAATTTGGTTAGCTTATGCTTAATTAATAGTAATATTAAAATTAAAATTTAAAATTATTTAATATTAATATTAATATTAAAAAATAAATGTGATATACAACTTGGCATTTTTTGCGGGATTATAAAAAATTTAACAATTAATAAATAAATGAAATTTGGTCAGCTTATGCTTAATAATAGTAATATTAAAATTGAAATTTAAAATTATTAAAATTAATTAAATTTAAAATTAATTAATATCAATATTAATATTAAAAAATAATTGTGATCTACAGCTTGCCATTTTTGTGGAATTATAAAGAATTTGACAATTAATAAACAAATGAAATGACAGATAGTAAAAAAACTGACGCTCACGCTCACGCTGCCCTACCTCTGTGGCGTGAGCGTATGTGAGCGCAAAATATGTGCTACGAGCATCCTACGATGATGCTACGAGCGTACTATGTGACACTCACAGAGCGCCAAGTCGAACGATGAAAGCGCGCTCACGGCGCGCTCACAGCGCGTAAGCGTCCAAGTCGAATGCACCCATAAAAAATTGTGCAATATCAAAATCATTCTATATTTAATAAAAACGTTGTACAAATACATAGATGTTATAAATAAAATATGTTATTTTATTCTAAAGTTAATATAATATTAAAAATATAATTACAAGAATCCTTTTTGTAGAAATCTATATTTGATCAAATTTATAGTACAAAAATTGATTTCAATTCATTATTTAGAAGAAACCTTCCAAAACATAATTTTCGGTCATTAGCCACACAAAACATATGGCAAGAAATAATGCCAGGTCAAGCCTCCAAATAACATAAGTGATGACGTTAATTGCGGTAATTTCATTCTTGTATGAGTAACTTTTAAAGTGTTATGCGGTCGACCTACTGTCGCTAATACTAGATCACTGATTGATGAAAACCTTAAGAAATATGCACCATCTTCATGCAGTGGTCTT